TGATTTGTGACCGATAAATGAATTTGTAACCAAATTGTATAAAAATGTGACCAAGTTGTGACGTATAAATTTTTTTATTTGTGACCGATGAACAAATTGTGACTTATAAAATTCCTGAATTGTGACCGTAAAATAATTTGTGACCTATAAAATTTCTGATCTGTGACCGATGAACAAATTGTGACATATAAAATTTTTGAATTGTTACCGTAAAATAATTTGTGACGTTTCAATTTTTCATTTGTGACCGATGAACAAATTGTAGTGATTTGTGACTAATTAATAATATGCGACTAAATTATATGGAATTGTGAGCTTAATATATTTAATTAATAAAATATACGTTTAATCAATTTATTTATAAATAAAATTTAAAAAAATTCGAGATTTGAAATTTTAAACCTTAAAAAATTTTGAAATTTTAAACATTATCTCTTAAATTTGAAATTGGTGAAATTTAACCTCTTAATTATGTAATTACCAAGGCTAATCTAGGGAGGGGCTCAAAGTCACCCAATCCCTTCCACAAAAAAAAAAACCTCATTTTTTCCTCTTATTTTTCAACCACACGTTCTATAATAAAATAATATTATACGTAAATCCAATTTTTTTTTTTTAACCATACATTTTCCAAAAAATCACTATTTCAAAATAGATTTTTTTTTTCCAAAATTTAATTTTTATGGAGACCAAACAAGAGCTAAGCTAGTTTACAGGTCAATTTTGGATGCAATTCTTCATCTTTAATGTTAAAAAAATGTTCTTGTCAACATTTTGAAGTACTCGCTGTGTACTTTTTAATAAACTTCTCAGTTTGCAAAACTGCTAAATGATAAGGTCACAATAGCAAGATAAAAATGGCCGTGTGAAATGATGAGTCAAATAAATATAATTTAGGCCATCATCACTTCTAGCTTATTTTCGAGCTATATTTCTTGACTGTAAGGGTAGGTTCTTGATATTGTTTCGATGAAAATGTGATCAGCTATGCAATGCATATCCCAAAGAAATTGATTTAATAACTCTAAAACATCAAATTAAATAAGATTATATTTGACCTCAATTTAGACTCGTATGTCAAAGTTGTCGTTCAAAAAATTGCAAGTCCCCGAACGATTAATCCTAGTTCCGTTCATATGCCCACTGTTGGTCTTGTTCTGGTTTCGACATAGATGCCTTGCCTTATGTCAATAACTTGGCACGTGTGTGTGGGAATTGTGTGCATTTGACAATGTAGTAGGTTGTTATCGCACTGATGTGCATGTGATGATGCATTTGATCAAGTTGTGTGAAGAGTTTGCGCGGGTGTGAGAGGAATGCACCAATTCGACAGGGACGAAGGTCATACAGTGCTTTACTTAATAAGTTAATAGCGACATTATCTGGGCATGATTTCTCACCATGATGCACAGAATTGCCTACGGCTATTTAGATTCTCGACAATATGCGTGGAATTGATATGGGTGTAGGGAATTTATTGGCAGTGTGTAACCCAATCTGCTTTCTAGGGGTGGAGGGAATTCAATTTTCCCACATTTTGGAAAAATCGAATTCTGACTTTTTTTTTTGACAATATAAACAAATCTCATAATCATAATAGACAATTTTCATGTAAAATAAAGTCAAACGAATACTGAACTTTGATAAAAAAATTTTTTATAATAGAAACAAATTTCATAATCAATTGTAAAAAAAAATTCACTTTAATGGACAATTTTCATGTAAAACAAAATTAAACGAACACTAAACTTTGATAAAAAAATGATTTTTTAGGAAATTTTATTTTTTTCCTTTTTTTTAACTTTTTAGCAATGGAAACGAATTTTATAACCAATTGTAGAAAAATTTATCACTTTAATGGATAATTTCCGCGTAAAACAAAACCAAACGAACATAAAAAGGTCCAAAATTTTAAAATTTTTCGGGTGGAAAATTATAACACGCTTAATTAACAATTCCATAGAAAACAAGTTCTATGCAATTATTTTCTCCGAAATTCATTTTCTTTCCATCTATTTTCCACCATTGCAATTAAACGGACCCTTAATTCATTTTTTTCTTTTTTTATTAATCAAACATTCTTTCAATAAAATAATATTAAACATAAATTCAAAAATTCTCTTTACTTTTTAATCATAAATTTTTCAAAAAATATTATTTCAAGATTGATTTTATTGAAATAATGGAGCTCAAATGCAGGTGGTGAATCAGAGGGAAGATCGCAACTCTTCGAAATTAATCGATTGAAATTTGGATACTTGAGTCATTAAAAAAAATAATAATAATAATAATAATGGAGCTCTAACTAGGGAAGAAAGCTCTTGTACTTTCTTACTTCCTAAATCATAAAAGCAAAAACAAAAAATCTAAGAAGAAAAATAAAAATAAACTGTTAAGAAATCTAGTAGTTTCTAGCCCGAACTACTAAATTCTAGGCACCTCTCTCACCTTTAACAAAGTACGCTCCTCTCTTCACCTGTTTCCAGTGTGCAACAATTCTCGATATTCACTCTCTCATAATCCAACTCTTCCCATAGAAAAACATTAATCTCAGTTTCAGAAGAATCCCATATAGCTTTATTCTGTTGAAGTTCTTTTCTAATGCTTTTCTCTGAATAAAGGTACGATCTTTATGATATTATGTAATTTTTATTTTTTTTGTGGTTTTTGAAGATTTTTGTAACTCTGTTTTTGAAGAACACATACTTCTGCTGAACTTCTTTTTATCGTTGAAGATTTTTGTAAGGCTAAATATATTCACATATTTTTAATAACTATACTATATTTTAATTGTTAATCACCTTTACGTATTATATTAAACTATTTTTCATTATACTTTTATTCTCAAATTAACACAAATGGTTCTTGACTAGAGCTTCTCTGCAAAATATTCTTGAAAATAGATTAGAAGACTCATTTGTTCACTGAATTTTTAAATAAGCAAAATAAATAATTATGTAAAAATGCAATTAAATATTTGACCCTGGCATTAACAATATTTTTGGACGAAAACATGATGAAGGACACTATTTTCTAATTAATTAAATGCTAAAAATACGAATGTCACGGGGAAAAAATAAGGATATAAGTGTGATAATACTTTAGGGTGTGTTTGATGGAAATTATCGAAAAAAATATATTTTAAATAGTGATACGATGGAAAATATATGGTTAAAAAGTAAGGAAAAATTATTGATAGAATGGAAAATATTATTTTATTGAAAATATGTGGTTGAAAATGAGTTTTGAAAGAATGGGAGTCTACGAGGAGCTTAATGTGTTTAAAGTGTGGTGTATTTATAACCGCCTTTTTTGTAATACTAAGTTTATGAAGAAACCCATTAACTCTGTGTTGTGTTATGGTTTTTTAGAAGATTCTTGTAGGATATACACATGCATGTTTAATTATATCTTCTTTCTTGATTTATGTGGTGGACTAAGTTCCCAAGCTCAATAGCTTGCCTTGGAAGTTTTTGCAGCACCATTTTAAAGTACCGATTTTGAATGTTTACAAGTGTCTGGTTTTTAATGATTTTTAATAGCGATTACTATAAATTCAGAGGGTGTTTGTTTTTGATTTTTTGATTTTACGGTAAATCAATTCTCATTTTCAATCATACATTCTTCAATAAAATAATATTTTCCATTAAATCAATAATTTTTTTTTCTTTTTCAACCACACATTTCGGATCATATCACTATTCAAAAATCAATTCTTTTCCAAAAATCCCTACCAAACAAGCTCTCAATACATGTTTGAAGAGTTTATTACTCGGCATTCTTAAAATTTTTTAAAAGAATGAAATTGTATATACACCTTTTATGATTTTTTTGTATGTTTACTTATATTTTTTTATATGTTATAAATAAATCTTTTTGTAGTGTTTTTATTTTATAAACAATTTTTTAACATAAAAATGAATTTTTATTTTTAAGTAATTTTTTTACTTATAAGTAAAAAATTTAGTTTTAAAGCAGTTTTTTGCTCATAGATTAAATTTTTTTAAATATAATTTTTTAAAACTATTTTATTGAGGATAAAATAGAAGGAAATTTTTTGAAACTTTGAGAAAATAGTCAAACCATTAAACCATCCAAAATCAGTGCACAGGAAAACTAATGTGTACTTGTTTTCCAAACCTATACATTGCCACCCTAAAACGATCAAAACCGATTATACAAACTCCCAAGCAGCCCCTAAAAGTGAATGCGGTGCTGGAATTCAGATGGATTGTTGAGTTCACAGAGCTAGATTTGTTAGTTCTTTCTCGATAATATGATTTTATTTGTGTTGTTTCCCATTTTAGGTGGATATTCGCGAGGCTTATGTGTTAGTAAGTTTTTTACGATGAAATTTTGAGTTGTTTGGGATGTGCCAAGTTCATACATTCCATTCGAAGTAGATTAAATGCATTGCTAAATTGCTGTAATTTTGGTGGGTGCTTCTTGTTTTCCATGGACCATGTAAGAAATATGACTCTTTCACTAGTTTATAGCCTATATCATTAAGAACCAATCTTTGGAAGAGAAGGAAAAGAAAAATTGCGGACTCCATTTTCTCTTTATTTTTTGGGATATGATTAGATTATTACTATTTATGCTGGTTTGATATGGTCTTTGTTGGATTGAATTGAGTTTTGAATATGAAAAGTCTCATTTTTCGTTTCTTTTTGCGGTGTTTTGTAGGATATAATTCCGACCATGAATCCAGACAAGTTTACCCACAAGACCAATGAGGCTCTTGCCAGTGCCCATGAACTGGCCATGAGTGCTGGACATGTGCAGTTCACCCCTCTTCACCTTGCTGCGGCTTTAATATCTGATCCACTGGGCATTTTTCGACAAGCCATTGCTAGTGCTGGGGGTAGCGACGATGCTGCAAATTCAATGGAGAGGGTCATCAACCAAGCTATGAACAGACTGCCCTCCCAGACTCCTCCCCCTGACGAAATCCCGGCAAGTAGTTCACTGATCAAAGTAATTCGACGAGGGCAATCCTTGCAGAAATCCCTTGGTGACACCCATTTGGCAATTGATCAACTGATTTTAGGCCTTTTGGTGGACTCTCAAATCCAAGACCTCTTAAAAGAGGCAGGAATTAATGCAGCCCGTGTGAAATCGGAAGTTGAGAAATTGCGGGGCAAAGATGGTAGGAAGGTGGAGAGTGCATCTGGAGATTCATCCTTCCAAGCTCTTAAAACCTATGGCCGTGATCTTGTGGAGCAGGCTGGGAAGCTCGACCCTGTTATTGGCAGGGATGAAGAAATCCGCAGAGTTATTAGGATTCTTTCAAGAAGGACTAAGAATAATCCTGTCCTTATTGGAGAACCTGGAGTTGGCAAAACTGCGGTGGTCGAGGGCTTGGCTCAAAGAATTGTTAGTGGTGATGTTCCAAGTAATCTTGCCGATGTGAGGCTTATAGCATTGGATATGGGAGCTTTAGTTGCTGGAGCAAAATACAGGGGAGAATTCGAGGAGAGGTTGAAGGCTGTTCTGAAGGAAGTTGAAGAAGCTGAAGGAAAAGTGATCTTATTTATTGATGAAATTCATGTGGTTTTGGGTGCTGGCCGCACCGAGGGATCAATGGATGCTGCTAATCTTTTTAAGCCTATGCTTGCAAGAGGCCAATTGCGATGTATCGGAGCAACAACTCTTGAAGAGTATAGGAAATATGTTGAGAAAGATGCTGCATTTGAGAGGCGTTTCCAGCAGGTTTACGTGGCTGAGCCAAGTGTAGCCGACACTATCAACATTTTGAGGGGGCTCAAAGAGAAGTATGAAGGGCATCATGGTGTTAAGATTCAGGATCGAGCTCTTGTGGTTGCAGCCCAGCTATCAGCTAGGTACATTACAGGTATACACAAGTAACTGTACGTGATGATTTCTGGGTTTTTTTGGTGGGGGGTATGACATTGTTGTATCTGTTAAATTTTGATTATATGCGTTTAATTCTAAATAGTAGTAATTAGTCTGACGTTCAAAATCTGATTGCAGGGAGACATCTGCCTGACAAGGCAATTGACCTAGTAGACGAGGCTTGTGCAAATGTTAGAGTTCAACTTGACAGTCAACCTGAAGAAATTGATAATCTAGAAAGGAAAAGAATTCAATTGGAGGTTGAACTCCACGCACTTGAGAAGGAGAAAGATAAAGCCAGTAAAGCTCGGTTTGTGGAAGTAAGTATTTCCAATAACAATTGTTTGATAATCTTCAAGACTTATCTTGAAGAAAGGAACTTGAATGATTTGAAGAGATTATGTCAAACTTAAAAGATGTGACAATCCTAACAATTTGTCAGGTAAGGAAGGAACTTGATGATTTGAGAGATAAACTCCAGCCCTTGATGATGAGATATAGAAAAGAGAAGGAAAGAATTGATGAGCTCCGGCGACTCAAGCAAAAGCGGGATGAGCTTTTGTATGCCTTGCAGGAAGCTGAAAGGAGATATGATCTTGCCAGAGCAGCTGACTTGAAATATGGAGCAATTGAGGAAGTGGATACTGCTATCGCCAGGCTCGAGTCAAGTGCAAGTGAGGATGGAATGCTAACAGAAACTGTTGGACCGGAACAAATTGCAGAAGTTGTAAGTCGTTGGACCGGTATACCTGTCACACGGCTTGGCCAGAATGAAAAGGAGAGATTGATTGGTCTTACTGATAGGCTACACCAACGGGTTGTAGGGCAGAATCAAGCTGTTGCAGCTGTTGCAGAAGCTGTGTTGAGATCTAGAGCTGGGTTGGGTAGGCCCCAACAACCAACTGGTTCATTTCTTTTCTTGGGTCCGACTGGTGTTGGCAAGACTGAGCTTGCTAAAGCTCTTGCCGAGCAATTATTCGATGATGAGAATCTGATGATCAGAATTGATATGTCTGAATACATGGAACAACACTCTGTTGCCCGATTGATTGGAGCTCCTCCTGGGTAAGTTTGATTTAGTTCGAGTTTTATATAATTTTTTGTCACATTACAAGAATGTTTATTTACCGTAGTTGTATTTGCAGTTATGTTGGCCATGAGGAAGGTGGGCAACTAACGGAAGCAGTAAGGAGACAACCTTATAGCGTAATTCTTTTTGATGAAGTGGAGAAAGCGCACCCAACGGTTTTTAATACCTTGCTGCAAGTTTTAGATGACGGGAGGTTGACTGATGGCCAAGGCCGAACAGTGGACTTCACAAACACAGTTATCATAATGACATCAAATCTTGGAGCTGAGTATCTTCTAAGAGGACTAGTGGGCAAGTGTACTATGGAAAGTGCTCGTGAGTTGGTTATGCAAGAGGTAATCTGAATGTTGTATTCTTTGAATATAAACTATAACAAAGCGGTGACTTAATACATTGTTTTATCAGGTGAGAAAGCATTTCAAACCAGAGTTGCTAAATCGGCTAGATGAGATTGTGGTTTTTGATCCTCTTTCTCACGTGCAATTGAGGAAGGTATGCCGTCTTCAACTAAAAGACGTAGCCAGTTGCCTGGCAGAGCGAGGTATTGCCTTGGGAGTGACTGAAGCAGCAATTGATGTCATTCTAGCTGAAAGCTATGATCCTGTAAGTATAAGCATCATCAGTGTATTAGCAATGTTTCAACTTTTTTCTCTTAAGTTGACTGGATATCTAATCCTACCTACTTATAATACTAGGTGTATGGTGCACGACCTATAAGGAGATGGTTGGAGAAAAAGGTTGTGACCGAGTTGTCAAAAATGCTTATCAAAGAGGAGATTGACGAGAACTCAACTGTATATATAGACGCAGCTGTCCATGGAAAAGTTTTGACATACCGGGTGGAGAAGAACGGAGGTCTTGTTAATGCTGCCACAGGCGAAAAATCTGATATATTAATTCAAATCCCAAACGGGGCTAGAACTGATGCTTCCCAAGCTGTGAAGAAGTTGAAGATCGAAGAAATAGTTGACGACGACGAGATGATCGAGTAAAATTGTCTAAAAGCTGGAATATAAGTTGAAGATCGAAGAAATAGTTGATGGTGATGAGATGATCGAGTAAATTGTCTAAAATCTTTCTTGCATGTTGTTTTCACCGTGGCTGTGTTTTGTGTTTTGTTCATAACAAGTCCCTATGTAGCAGACATATATATAGATATTATGGATATACCTGAAAATAGTATGTTAATCAGCGGACATATCTTTTTTCTTATATTCTTCACAGTGCCGTTAATTGAAATATACAACAAGAACGTCCTTACTAGAAAAGACTTTCAGCTGAATCGCAATTCAGAGCTCCGGAACCCGCCTATAAATCTTGCATCACCTCTTAGAACTGCTCATTAAATTACCTTCATATCAATGACGCCGTATATGGGAACCAACTCGGTGTTGGAATATTGTTCAGTATATACAATTTGGAGTGATTAAATGTTGATGAATCAAGAGAAAATCAAGCGGAAGCAAAATGAGAAGAAAAAATGGAGATGGCCGGAAAATGGCCTGGGCAATTGCCGAGGCTTAAGGCCGGGTGATAGCCATCGCCAAGTGCAAATTTTTGTGCATGGTTGTTGGAGTACCATATATAGGGGTGATTTTCATGATTGAAAAATATCTTTAACATCAAATCCATACCATTAACATCCAAATCAAAAGCTCAAACCAAGTTTCATAATTTTGTTTTTAAGTTCCTTTTCCAAGTTTGTTTCCTTGATTCAAATTTTGGATTAAGATTTTGACTATTCTTACAAACTATTAGCCTTTGAAAGCCTTCAAGCGTTTATACCGGTGACGGTATATATCGTTTGAGGAACATGTTCGAACCTTTCATTGGGCGAAATTCTTGTTCTTTATCAACTTTTGTTCGACAATCTCAAACTATATTTTTAATATGGAGAACAATACAACCATGGTTATGATAAAGATGGTGAATCAAGACCATATGAGGCTTAACAGATTTGATGGGTCGAATTTCAAAAGATGGAAGGAAAAGTTGAAGTTTCTTCTAGCAACCTCAAAGATCTTTTATAGCTTGGATCCGAACTTGGCGCCGTTGTCGGAACGAACTCCAAATGACACCGATGAGTAAAGGCAGAATGAAAGAAAAAACAAGAGGACGAGTTGATTTGTCGCGGTCACATTCTTAATGCTCTTTCTGATTGCTTGTACGATCTTTACACCAATACCACTTCGACAGAGGAAATATGGGATGCACTTAAAAACAAATATCGTTTGAGATTGTAGGAAATAATTAGGGCTAGACATGGTCCGTTTCGGTTATGTTCTCTTCAGAACCGAACCAAAATTTTCGGGTATTTAATAAATGGAATCGTCGGTCCAAATATAATTATAGAACCGTTCGATTTCGGTTATGTTCCGTACCATAATTAAAATTTTTAACATTTATAGCAATACTACATAAATACAACTAATGACATGTTCATTCGTAACTTTTTGCAAATTAATGTAGCCCAATTTAAAAACATATAAATAATAAGTTGTCCAATAAAATTAATTCAAAATGTATACAAATACCAAAAAGTAAAAACTAATACTAAAATATCGGTGATCCATATCAATAATTCATTTGCTTCAAGCAGCCTACATAAAAAAATGAAATATAAATTAAAAGTTATAAAAATAAAATATTTTTACGTATTGGTAATACTTACCAACTGTTTTATTTAATTATCAATTGTCTGACTTGTCAAAATAAGAAATTTTACAAGCATAATTGAAAAAGCACAATTAACAGACACAAATAAACTAAAAATTGTTCAACTAAATTAGTTAATTTTCTAATTTGTTTAGAAAAAATTGAAAAAAATTTAATTAATTCAATATAAAAAATTAAAAAAATTATTTACATTCGGTTATTCGGTTCTTGGTCTAGAATGGAAAATCGAATCAAACCCATCGGTTTTCAATTCAGATATCCGTTCTGGTATTTAACTTATGAAAAATCGCTTGGTTCAAGTTCGGTTCGATTTGGGAGTTTTGTCCAACCCTAGAAATAATACAAAAATGGAGAGAAAAAGGATAGAGATGGAAACACCAAAAAATGGTATGGAATAGCAAGATTTGAACACGTGATCATACGTTGTCCTCAAACGATATTTTTCTCCTCTTCAAATGCTTTTAAGGATTCAAATGGCAAAAAATACGAATGACTAATCAAGCCTTATGAAGAATACCAAAGCACAAGCGTTTCTTCAATATGAACAAGTGAAAACTTTGAAGAACAATTTTGAATGAGAGGATGAATGAATTTGGACTAAAATGGATATCTTGTATTGATTGACTGTTTGGAAATGGAATACTAGCTCATATATGTAATATTCCAATCACCACAAAATCAAGCCATCGATTCATGAAAAGTTAGTCGTGAACTTTTCATAAAAATATTCAAAGGAGTCAAAATTAGAAACCTGTCTAACGGCTCATTTCTGAAGCCAATCGTATGGCTATGAGCTACACAATCGCATGGCTCAAGCGATTTGCCCTCGGGTGGACAATCAAGGGCTCACGCAACCGTATAATTCATTCCATTCATCCACATGTAAGTCCAATAATTGACGTATTAATTTTGAAGAATAGATTACAACACTAGGTTCATCACTTAAAGACAAAAAAGTTATGTCAGCCGACAGAAGATGATGATCACATAATAACCCTACACATCCTCAGCCGCTCACAACAAAGGAGCCACTCGAACATGATTTTGTGTCCAGAGAACAGTATATTGCCTTACAAGCCTACGTTGCATTAATGCCCATGCTCTAGGAGCTAGAGCGATTCACATGGTAAGGCTAGACTTGCTTCCAACTTCCATATGTGATACCAAATGCTCACTAGCCACAACTACTCGAAGAGTTATTAAGTCAAAAATTGATGAGGTCATCGGATGAAGGAAGAAAAGAGGGCGGTCTATCTTGATAAGAGAGGAACATTTCAATTTGGAAACCATTACCGTTCCGCTCCTCCAAAGTTTAAGAAGCCAAACATCGAAAAATTGAAGAAAAACTGACCCAATCATTTGAGTCTTTCAAGATCTCATAAGATTGTAATAGAATACCTAAAGCGATAGCATTCAGAGCCTTTTCAATGACTTTGAGAAACCACTCTATAGAGTTGTACTATACATTTGCAAACAAGTTTGCTACATGCTACTTGAGCAGTTCTCAAAAGAAGAAGATTGCAATCGGGCTTATGCAGGTGATCTAAGGTAAAGACAACCCTTTTGAGGGAGGATATCACACGTTTCAACATGGAATTCTTGGAAATAAAGTCTCTGCTCTGGTCAATGGTCGAATTACTAATGCATGGTGAGGAATACATGATAAATTGTAAGGAGGTGATAGTGCAACCAGAGAGTTTCATACGGGTAGAGAAGTAAAGAGTAGAAGCGAAAATTGAAAAACTCGCTCTCTCAAGGGTCGAAGAAAAGCCACCTTGTTACGCCTGGCCACCGAGGCTCAAAGTCAAAGTGTCACGTAGAAATCCATGTGGGTAGAGAATCAACAGAAAAGTCAACAAAGACTCAAGTGGTCAAATATAAAGAAACTATGCAAACTACCGAAGCACTGCTCCTCGGATGAAGAACTACAACTTGGGTTGAAACACTGCCTAAAGAGACAAAGAAAAAAAATACTGAAACTCTCCACTCAGAGGACCAACACAGACCCTCCGAGGCTCTCAATTCATCGGAAGCTCATGAAGCCGACGCTGTCTCTTACAACATATTTTGAAGATATTTTAGAACTGATTGACGTAACACTTGTAATAAAAAAAAATGTTAGTGTCAGTCTATTTTATAGGGTGCTGACCCTTTATCAATGTATAAATTATATGAATAGACACTGATGCAACTAAGGGGATGATGCCACGTGTTTCTAATCTAACGGACACCACGTCGGCCAAAACACTATAAATATGTTTTCTTTGTAACTAAGAAAGGATTCGGAGGCAAGATTCTTAAATCTTATACTTTAAACTCTTAAATATGGAATGATCAGAAAATATTTACAAAAACTTTTTGTGAGCATTTTCACCTTACATTACATATTCTTGGTACATAAATATCTTAATACACAATCTTACAATTTCTATTCTGGTTATCTTCTGTCCTTTCCCATGTTCCAGTGAGATCTTTAGTTAGTTACTTTGGTTCTCAATTGATAATTATTGTTAGCGCGATCATCCTTGTTTCAACTGTAGGAGCTCGAACACTTTTATCTCCCGCATTCACGTCCGTCTCCTTTTTTACCGCTCCTCCGGTAGAAATATGCAGGAACTTGCTTGGCCTGACAGGAGTGGGCCCAGCATCTGTTGGCTCATTTTTTGGGGTCAACACACCCCCTATATGACAATCAATATTATATGAAGGAAAGCACAATCAATGCTACATCACAACCTTCTAGTCAGCATATTCCGCAACTATTAAGATGGATTAGATTCTCAAAGAAATGAGAAACTACAAAAGAGGTAAGGTGGTTGGAAAAACTGAAGAGCTCGCCCTCGAGCAGGGGTCAAAATCTACTTCTCTTAACATGTAAATATCCTTAATAGGTATGCTGCTTGGAGAAATTATGCAGGAGTACAAATTTTGAAGCTATGGTTCTTTTTGTTGTTCTTTAGGTATTGAATAATGAACATGGAGGCTAATATTGTTGGAAATATTTACAGGATATTAACCATGCGGGGAGCAAGGCAATCGTAGCTTGAGCTTGTCAGCAATCGAGGTCACCTACCTTCAGCTATTCTTAGAGAAGGAAATTGGTAAACGAAACTTGTTGACGTCGAAAATTGGATGAACAAGATTCAAGCCAACTTAAAATGTAAACAAGAATTTTATTGATAATGATTTGCAAATTACAATTGTAACTACAAATGTTTGCTCTTTTTTCTTAAAGAGATATTTGAAATATGAAGTGTTTAGAGCTTTTTTTCTCTTGTCATTCCCTAAGACTCTCATTCTTTCTTTTATACGGAAAGGTTGGCATGCATTCTTCATTTCCTTGTCTCATCAACTACAATACCGAGATAAGAAAGTACATCATTGGCGTGTTTGGATTGGTTAGTGAGCTCGGCTTTGTCATCTCATTATGAGTTAACCTTACATGTGGTCTCTGAGAATTAATAAGCTAATTGGGGAACGAAGCTAAGGCGTGTGATTGATGGAATTGGTGGGCACTGATGTAAGACCTTCTAAATGTCACTTGTTGATTGACTATTTTTACAATGTGTAAGGAATCTTCAATCATTATGACCCCTCGAATTTCAGCAATGACAAACACGAGCTGATCTCAAATATCCGAGCTTAATTTATCATGAGCTTAATGCATTCAACAAACTGTACTTAACGACCTCGAACGTCGGCTGTCAACAAAACTAATACTCATTATAATTTCTTACATGGTTTTTGTTGTTAAAATTCAAAGTGTAGCAATTGCATCTTCTTTAGTTTATTTGAATATGAGGGAATAGATGTTTTGCTGTCATCTTTCGCTTCCCTTCTTTTTTTCATTCATAAATGATACAGAGATCTTTGTAGCAATATAGGGTTCTAGAATTCGTGCTTCTATTTAACGTACCCTGGTGTTTCGATAATTTCTACTGCCTCCCCGTTCGTTTTACCATAATTAATTACTTAGTATCACATATTCAAGTGGCAAATGGTTTCCCCCAGTTCCCTGATGTTTCTTTTTCTTTTCTTTTTTCTTGATTTCAATGAAGAAGCACACATATTTTTGTAAGAATCTTATCTGTAAATTTGAACTTTAAAATGTGCAATTGTTTTGAAGCTTGAAGTGGCCAATAAACATCCTAGAATGTATTCCTCTTCATCTTACCTGCACATTATCTTCCTTCTAGATTTGCAAAATTCCACTTTACAATACTTACTAGCCTTATTGATTTATTTTATGGTTAAAAAATAATTAATATTCCTTCTGCTTTGTTTCCTCCCATCCAACATTTTGTAGGATGGGACAATCGTGATACAATTGTCAAGGTGACTCGACCACAAGGAAGGTCAATTTTTTATAAGCAACAATTTCTATTACTTCTCCATAATTAATTGCAACTATTTTAATTGCAAGGTATATCATTTCTTCCCTCTTTCACTTCTATATCTCCAGGTAACTGGATGATTTTTGATGGAATTACAATGCTTCATTATTTGTATTAATATTTATGCATATTTTGAGATAATCTTGAATTTTGTTTCAATTTCGGCCTTTTTTGATGATTTTGAAACTGTGTTCTGGGAACACTGGATATTCTTTGATGGGATTATAGCATAGATTATCAGAGTTAATATTTATTGATGTTATGATTTAGTTGAATGTTGTTACAATTGCGTACCATTGTGCCATTGGTAGTTTTTTTTTTTAGGGTTATTATTCTTTTTCGACTATTTTCTACATCTTATCAATTCTTAATAATTGATACGATACGCTAACATTATCTTAGAAATAAATGCACGGCCGAAAAGTATTCTATTAAAAGTGTATGGCTAAGCTTAAAAAATAAATAAAAGGCTGCTTACCAACATATCTACTTGAATTGAAAAAGGGTTCCAAATATTTAAAAAGTAAAAATAACTTCAAAATAGATACAAATCATTTATATTGGCATTCTTATATAATGGAATAAGGAGATTGGGTAAGATCCCCAACAAAGTCACACAGAGCTATAAAATTCACAAGAAAATCATTGTAACATCCTTCCAGTTTCCCAAGACAGTATATTTACAGTTTACTCGTACATTTCATCATCATCGACTATTTCCTCAATCTTCATCTTCTTTACTGCTTGAGCAGCATCACTTCTCGACCCTTTCGGAATCTGAATCAATATATCAGATTTTTCACCCGTAGCTTCATTAACGAGTCCTCCGTTCCTCTCCACCCGATATGTCAAATCTTTCCCATTGGGCGCTGCGTCGATATATACAGTTGAGTTCTCATCAATCTCCTCTTTGATAAGCATTTTTGACAACTCGGTCACAACCCTTTTCTCCAACCATCTCCTTATAGGTCTTGCGCCGTATACCTAATAGTATAGAGAACACGAGATTACTATTTTTTGCTGAAAAAATGCAAACGGCAAATGTCACTTGAAGATAACTTGTACTTACAGGATCATAACTTTCAGCTAATATGACGTCCAATGCCGCTTCCGTTACACCCAAGGCAATACCTCGTTCTGCTAAGCGACTTGCAACATCTTTCAATTGAAGGCCGCATACCTTCCTCAATTGGTCGTGAGATAGAGGATCGAAAACCACAATCTCATCAAGCCGATTTAACAACTCAGGTTTGAAATGCTTTCTCACCTGATAAAGAAATGCAAAATCAGTAAAACCACCAAACTAAAGAGCATTTAAAATCTAAAAATGCATGCATTAATCTATCAGCTATTTCTGTGCTTCATACAGGAGTACAAAGGGAATATTACCTCTTGCATAACCAATTCACGAGCACTCTCAATAGTACACTTGCCCATTAGTCCTCTCAAGAGAAATTCAGCACCAAGATTTGAGGTCATAATGATGACTGTATTTGTGAAGTCCACTGTACGGCCTTGGCCATCAGTTAACCTCCCATCGTCTAACACTTGAAGCAAGGTATTAAACACAGTTGGGTGAGCTTTCTCCACCTCGTCGAAAAGAATAACGCTATAAGGCCGTCTTCTTACTGCTTCCGTCAGTTGCCCACCTTCCTCATGGCCGACATAACTGATAATTTATAACTACAGTAAGCAACCATTCAAGCAGTATTGCAAAAACTAAAGAAAATTTTGAATAGAAAACCATACTTACCCTGGAGGAGCACCAATTAATCTGGCAACAGAGTGCTGCTCCATGTATTCAGACATGTCAATTCTGATCATCAGATTATCATCATCAAATAGTTGCTCAGCAAGAGCCTTAGCTAGTTCAGTCTTGCCAACACCAGTCGGACCCAAGAACAGAAATGAACCAGTTGGCTGTTGGGGTCTACCCAACCCAGCTCTAGATCTCAAAACAGCTTCTGCAACTGCCGCAACCGCTTGATCTTGTCCTACAACTCGTCGGTGCAGCCTATCAGCAAGACCTATTAATCTCTCCTTCTCATTCTGGCCAAGCCGCGTGACGGGTATACCAGTCCAACGACTCACAACTTCTGCAATTTGATCCGGTCCAACAGTTTCTGTAAGCATTCCATTCTCAGTTCCACTTGACTCAAGGTTTGCAATAGCAGTTTCCACTTCCTGAATAGCTCCATATCTCAAGTCAGCTGCTCTAGCAAGATCATATCTCCTTTCAGCTTCCTGCAAGGCATACAACAGCTCATCCCGTTTTTGCTTTAGTCGTCGGAGCTCATCAATTCTGTCCTTCTCCTTCCTATATCTCATGATCAATGGCTGCAGTTTATCTCTCAAATCATCAAGTTCCTTTCTAACCTGAAAATTTGTACGACCTTGTAAGTCAAACATAATACCGCATTTATATAGCCACAATATCCAACAAGTGTTATGCAAAATACTTACTTCAACCAGCCGAGCTTTGCTGGCTTTATCTTTCTCCTTCTCAAGAGCATGGAGTTCTACCTCCAATTGAATCCTCTTCCTTTCGAGATTATCAATTTCTTCAGGTTGACTGTCGAGTTGAACTCTAACATTTGCACAAGCTTCATCTACTAGGTCAATTGCCTTATCAGGCAAATGTCTCCCTGCAATCAGATTTTCAATATTAGACTATTTTACCACTACTTAACAAGGTCATCCACCCCTCGAAATAAAAGCCAAAAATCATCTGGTCTATGGGGTGGATGGGAGGCCATAAAAGAAAGAATAATAGTCATCAGTCACGATGTTCGATTGGTAGATTGGGGAGCGAGAGTGAAAACTCCTCCCAAGGTTGATCCCTTTACTTCTGCTGCAGATGGTGTAATTGAGGTTCTTCGGTGAATACCTGTAATGTATCTAGATGATAGCTGGGCTGCAACCACTAGAGCTCGATCCTGAATCTTAACACCGTGATGCCCTTCATATTTTTCTTTCAGCCCTCTCAAAATGCTTATAGCATCAGCAACACTTGGCTCAGCCACATAAACCTGCTGGAAACGCCGCTCGAATGCAGCATCTTTCTCCACGTATTTCCTGTATTCCTCCAGAGTTGTAGCACCAATGCACCGCAGCTGACCTCTTGCAAGCATAGGCTTAAAGAGATTAGCAGCATCCATTGATCCTTCAGTGCGCCCAGCACCTAACACCAGATGAATTTCATCAATAAATAGAATTACTTTCCCTTCAGCTTCTTCAACTTCCTTTAGTACAGCCTTCAACCTCTCTTCAAATTCTCCCCTGTATTTTGCTCCAGCAATTAAAGCTCCCATGTCCAACGCTATAAGCCTCACATCAGCAAGATTGCTCGGGACATCACCACTAACAATTCTTTGAGCCAATCCCTCAACCACTGCAGTTTTACCAACTCCTGGCTCTCCAATGAGGACGGGGTTATTCTTAGTCCTTCTAGAAAGAATCCTAATAACTCTTCGGATTTCTTCATCTCTGCCAATTACGGGGTCAAGTTTTCCAGCCTGCTCAACAAGGTCACGCCCATAGGTCTTAAGAGCTTGGAACGACGAATCCCCAGAAGCGCTCTCCACCTTCCTACCATCTTTGCCCCGCAACTTCTCAACTTCCGATTTCACCCTTGCTGTACTAATTCCTGCCTCTTTTAAGAGATCTTGGACTTGAGAGTCCTCTAGAAGGCCTAAAATTAGTTGATCAACTGCCAAATGGGTGTCACCACGGGATTTCTGCAAGGATTGTGCTCTTCGAATTACTTTGATCAATGAAGTGCTTGCTGGAATTTCATCAGGGGGAGGCGTCTGCGAAGGTAGTTTCTTCAGAGCTTGGTTGATGACCCTCTCCACTGAATTTGCAGCCTCGTCACCACCACCAGCACTAGCAATTGCTTGTCGGAAAATACCATACTGGTCAGATATCAAAGCCGCAGCAAAGTGAAGAGGCGTGAATTGAGCATGTCCAGCATTCATAGCCAGTTCATGAGCACCAGCGAGGGCCTCGTTGGTCTTGTGTGTGAACTTGTCGGGATTCATTGCGAAATTGTTTCCTAGACTGAGAAGAAAACGAAAAATCACAGTCAAATTTCATATTCATTACTAACACAACCCAATAAAGAAGTATATCCTCGAAATCATTGAGAAAAAGGTACAGATTTAAAATATTTCTCTCATTTAAACGCAATAAATTCAAAACTGGTGCAAAAGAGTCATCTTCCTGGTTCCTTACATTGCTGAAAACAAAAATGCAACATCAAATTAACTACAAAGAAGAGAGGTTACTGACAAATTCAAAATCCAGCAATTTAGAATAATATTCAGCAGCCCAGAAGGTTTAACCGTAAGAAGAAATATTCAATTTTGAATTCAAAATTCCGGAACAATTTATTTTTCCATTTACTGATGAACTTGGAACAGAGATTCAATACAGGTGTTAACGGAAAAATGATTTAGGAGGTTCTTCACAAAAATGATATTAAAAGGCTCAAACAAACAATTCGACAGGTCCTAACTATTCGATTGGTGTTCCCAAACAAGGCAAAGCAATGCTGGACAGAATTAAAAACACATTCAACAGAAATATTATAAAATCTAGCTCTGCACTTAATAATCCTTCTTAATTTCTTCTATTTTCACTCTAAAATTTTTAAAAAATTAATAACCCAAATCAATTATAAATTCCGCTCGAATAAATAAAGGCAACATGCATGCGCATATATCCAATGAAAGTCTTCAAGAATATAACAAAAAGGCACAAAATCTTATCACAATGGAAAACTTGACATACCTTTATATGGGAAGCTCAACCGGGTTGTTCAACAACTGAGTATTGGGTTAGTGATAAAGACTTCGATTCTTACAGAAAGATCGATTATTCAGAATGGTTTTATGCAGAAGATTGGGGAGTGGGAGCAGTCTATTTGTATGCATACAGAGAGATTTCTGGAATTTTGGAGTTGGAACTAGAAACTACTAGTTTTTCTATTTGTCGATTCTATTTTTCATTATGTTTTATTTTGCCTTTTTCGGTTTTTTCGGGTGAGTACTTATTTGGAAATATTTTTTTTCTTGATTGCAGTTCTTTTTGGGGTCCTCTGATCATATATGGCTCATATGCAAGGATGACAGCTGGATATAATCGAGACGATCTGGCCTTTCCTAGTGCAATCATGCTAGGATGCCAGAATTTTTTTGACACCCTAGTTGAAATACACACACAATAGGGGTGGGTGGGGGGTATGTTTTTGCATTTTTT